TGAACCAGGAGACAAGGGGTAATTGTATAATCCCAGAAAGACCATGGGGGAAGTCTCCTAAAATGTATTCTCCATGGGAAGGCCCATATGATATAGTGGATCGTCTCTCAGACGTGACTTTCCAGATAAAATGTGGTCAGCGAGGTAAGCCAAAAGTGGTGCATGCCAACAGGCTTTGGCGTTATCACTGTCCTGGACATTTCAGTTGGGACGAAGTGGACAACAGAAAAAATGACGCTGCTAAAGACGTGCCACCTGAAGAAGCCACTGTCGAAGAAGAAACTCTACTCAGTTTTGAGAAGGGAAACGGTGAAGCTCTTGATGAAGTTATTAGCACTGATGTGATTGTTACCGACGATAGGGCATTTCCTGATGAAGCAGATGAACCCCACGTGAAGCAGAAGCCAACAAGACGGAGACCAGTACGGAAGAAGATACGTCCCGTAAAATTAAGAGACTTTGTTGAATTGTAATTTTGTGTTTGTAATTCTGTACATTTGATTAAGTTATTGTTAATTGTTATTGATTTATTGTATGTGGTTATTGTTCGGGACGAACAATACTAAGGAAGTGGCAGTGTTGCGTCAGCAAAGTCAGATGACTAGTGTGACGCCACGTTTCTAGAACTATCCTGTACCTTGGCGAATGCTCTAGCATTTACTAGATATAGGGTAGGCTGGTATATAAAAGAGGGTGACAACGTGACGGGGATAATGTTTGTGTAGATAGTGAGTAATTGAACTGCAGTCAGAAATATTGTTGACGTTCGTTGATATAGCATTTGTTTTAGCGCGATTGTTGAAAATAAGTGTATCGTGAAGTTATATTCAGGAAGAATAAACCAGTTTTCTTAAGTAAGGACTTGTGTCGCTAAAGTTTCGTCGGAACGAAGTTACGGAAAGTTAATTAACAAACGGAGACGTAACAATATATATATCTCTTTAAAAGTTTTATTACAGAGTTTAACTTGCATTGTTAGCGTAGTATACTTAATATATTTTATATCACCTTAAATCTCCTAAGTTAGCTGAATCTTTTATGACATTAAAGGATTACGGAGAAATCTTCGCTAACAACAAGAGTGACCAACTGATGAAACAATGTTTTTCAATCTTTATATGTGAGAAGGTAAGAAAAGTATAAAGTTTCCGTTTAAATGCCATAAGCTGGCGAATCATTAGAAGCAAATAGGCTCAGTATCATTGATAAGAATCGCGTAAATTACAGATGTTTTTTTTTTTACACATTCCTTTGACTTTGTTCTTTTCTGATTCCAAATTAGAAGTATGTAAAAATATTTCAGATCTACCCCCTCACACACAAGTAATTGCGCAAGAGCCATTGAAGGAAATGAGCAAATTAATGAAAAGTATGAAAAACATTTGTAATTTGCTTGATTGTTAGCACAAAAGGTTGGTTTGATCTTGTTGTTGTAAAGAGCAAAGCTACCTAAGGACCATCTATGATCTGCCTACCACAGATATCGAAACCAGAATTTTAGTGTCGTGAGCCTGCAGACTTCCGCTGAGCCACTGGGGCAGTACAAAAGCTAGGCTAATTTGTAAGAACATTATTTTTAATTAGCTGCACTCACTATCGGATTGATTCTTAATTCTGATCTATGTTGGTAGTTAGCTTGTTCTGATCGGAAGTTATTATTAACTAATAGCTGGAGTACTCGTCCCCTAGACGGAAGTTATGTAAATTCATGATTAATGAAATGTTATCTCAGGACATGAAAAGTTGCTTCTTTTATATATAATTGTAAAAAACGCCCACAAAAACAGCAAAACACAAAATGTGAAACCGCAACTTTGCATACAGTAAACAATAGACAGTACTATTATATTTATGTAGAGTTGAAAGACACTGTGATAGAATGAAAAATATTCGTTAAAAAAGTTTAGAATTTTTAACAGAACGTATTCTTGCAACGTTGCACGAAGTATTCTGTGAAATACATGAGTGACGCTTCACTCATGAAATTATCTATGAATAAGGAGAAAAGTAAAAATTCCATGAGAGGGCGCAATCAGAGAATATGTAATATAAGTTTAAACAATTTTGGTAGTTTAGAGTAAGCTGTACTCTGTGTTCTTTTGTGTGTTATTGTGTTAGTGCTACGAGTAACAGATAGTCTGGATTTTAGAATATGTTTTTGTTTTTTTCTTCTCAATTTTAATGTTATCCTTTGACAATTACCATTATCCAAATAAAAATTAAGGCTTTTCAACTTTAATCATAAAAGTTTGTGTTAAAAGGTATAAAAAATAGTGTTAATTGGCAGTATTTTGACAGTTTAGGTGTAAATTGCAGCTAAAACTAAGTTGAAACAAAACAAGTACACAGGATGACAGCACTCAGCAGCTGATGTCATGGTGATGTAATACCACAACATAAAGTAAAGGCCAGATTATCGGAGATTAGTGTCATGATAAGGTGAGTAAAAGAATGATATTCTATAATTAGAATAAACGGTTAGTTTTAAATGTTACTAATAGTAACACTTAGTAATAGTACTAAAACCAGCAATAGTACTATTGACAGTATTGTATTTATTTTATATACCTTGTAATTTATAATCAAATTGGAGATTTTATACTTATTTAGTTATTATAATAAGTCTATTTTTTAAAAAAAAACTATAACTTATAAGTTTAATAAAAACTAAGGAACTACTGAGGCACAAATTTATAGGAAAATCAAATAACGAAATAAATTTTTCTTAGAAAAGGTCATGACTGTAGGTTTCGTAAGGTTAGACTTGATAGTATTCAAGCCTTCATGTGGCATCAGACATTACAAATCTTATCAGTATTATTTGATCTAGAATATGAAAGAATAAAGTCACATAGGTCGTTTATCCAGGTTACTGAAAAAATAGATAAGAATTTCGTTCCAGATTTCGCTAAATTTGTCTTGTGCATGTTCAAGAGGTGTGTATTGATTCCATTGCTTTGCCAAATGTAAATATAATATGTGTATATATATATTTTATAAATAATGATAAAATAGTGAATGGTGTTGTAGCACTGTATTGCTATTGTGATGATGACTGGCTTTTGGTAGTCTAAACATGTTGATTGTTTTTTGTTTGATTATGTATGAATTTATTTACTTTTAAGTCATTGTAGAAGTGTAAGTTTTTAATTAGGTTATTCAAATTTTTAGCAATTTTGAACATATGAATCGCATTTCAACTCTAATTCTAGGCTTAACCAAAAAAAAATGCTGAAGCCAATTCTTATACTAACTAAGTTATAGACCTAGTTAACCAGGTATTATTTGATAGCCATTGGCCAGATCTCTTCCCAAGGCTTCAGGCTTTATAAACAATCACATACAATAATTTTTCTATTCTTATGTCATAGTTTTATAAAAAAAAGTTGTACTGCAGTTAGAACAAAATGTAAGGTACTGTATATGATTAATGTGTATGCTTCTATTTTATTACTATAGAAAAATAATGTGGAATAATACAAAATGTTCAGGTTGCTTATGTTCAAAAGTTATCAACCAGTATGTAATAGCAAATCACTCACTAATAAACCATATAAATTCTAAGAACCTTATAGTGAAAGCAAGGAAGAATATGCTATATCGTGTCAACTACACTACACCTGCTATTTCCAGTGTCAATTAGGCCTTTTGCCAAATAACAGGGGTCATCAGGCTAGCTGGAATATGACAGAAGACTTCGTGGCTAAGACTTGTTTATATTATCATCTTCCGTGAACAATAACTGCTATAGTGTGAACTAAGCTACTGTCATAAATATAAATTTTTTCATCTTCTTAAGAGTTTAAGAAAAGTTGTAGTTGTGACAGAGAAAAACAATTTTAAAACAAGCCTGAAACTGATTTCTGTCATGATTTTTATATTTATCTTTTTAAGACTTCGTCTTCTTTGCAAACCTTAAAAGAAACTGTATACCCCCCCCAATATTAACAATACTTCTCAATCAGATTCAAACAAATGATTCATGTATGCTTTATCCCAAATTCTACTTTTTAGAGAAGTGAAACAATTTAAGTTAAATTTAAGATTAGGTCAATGAAATAGAGGTTAGCCTGGAAGACTGTTGTTTTCACTATCTATCTATCTATATATATATATATATAAAGCTCATATGATGCTTCATTGTGTGGTTTTATCAAACAGATTGTGCCAAAGGGACAATATGAAACAACTGATGCTTTGAAACAAAAAATGTTGAAAGTCTTGCAAAGGTCACCCCTAATATGCTAAGGAGATATACCAACCTATGTTAGGAAAATAAAGGCTAACAGACACATTTTGGTTTACCAATCAAACCTTTTGTTAGTCTCTGTTGATATGCAATAAATTATTTCTTTCATGTACACTATCTCTATTTGATTTGATGAAACAAGAGATAATATTATTTGCTAAATATATATATATTACATTACCTCTTCTCACAAAAATAGCTATTCTTGTTCAGTCCTGCCATCTATATGCAAAAATGAATTGTGCATGCTACAAGCCTCGAGCTCCCACATACCTTACAATCAACTGGTTCAAATGTGTCTTGCATATAAATCATCATGTGACAACCCTCCACCAATAAGAGAGCAACACTCTCCTGATGCATGGGACTCCCTCTATTTGAGTCTATTGAACTGTCGCTTCTCGTTTGACAGTCCTTGTGTCAAGATGTTTTTGTAGTGCTCTTCAGTTGTGTTATTATCTCTTTACCAGCCCTTACCTTTTCCTACCTCCATGGATTCCTCATCCCGTCATTTTAATTGATACAGATGGGCACATCACCAACAGTATCAGTTACTACCCATTGAGTTTGGTCAAATGGGGGCTTGCTTGACTGATTTAGTTCCCCTTTGGTGACTTTTAACCACAGATCCATGGGTTATTCGAGTATTTTCCTAGGGACTTGTCGTATATTTTCTTTCCCCTCCTCCATTGTCTCAGATACCTGTTTCTTTTCCATTGCTTCAGAATCCTACGACCAGTCAAAGTCTGTTCGAGTGGTACAAGATCTTTTCTCTTCTCCCAGCAGGCTTTGGAACCTTTCAATCATCCTTCTCCAGGTTTTTATTCTAGGCTGTTTGTGGTACCCAAGAAAACCAGCGACTGGTGGCCTGTGAATGATTTGTCCCACCTCAGTCAAATTTTGGTTCTACCCCAATTGACCACGGAGTCTTTTTTCATCCTCAGGTGGGCTTTTTCTTCAAGTTTGTGGATGACCAAGGTAGTTTATCAATTTTGTATCCTGACCTTCGGGCTTCCTTTGGCCCCATATGTTTTTTGTCAGATGATCGAGGCTTTTGTCTGACATTTGCATGCTCGGGGGTTGTGCTTCCATCATTGCATGGATGACTGGCTTCTGTTAGCTTGTTCTGAACAGGAGGCTGCCCATCACACTCATCTGCTGCTGAAATTGGAGAAGTCAATCCTTATACCTACCCAATATTTTGTCCATTTGGGTGTCTTTTTCAACACTCAACTCAGTTGGGCCCAACATTCTCCTCTTAAACTTCGTCTGATGGAGTTTTAAGTTCTCCATGCCCTTACTGGTCCCTCACCTACAGCTCACGAGGTTCTATTGCTTTTGAGGATGTGGTCTTTCATGGAAGCCCTTATCCCCTTGGGTCGAGCTCAGATGAGGTCTCTTAGTGAGCTCTGCATGACTAATGGAATTTTGTACAGGTTACACTGGAGGCTCCTATTTCCTTTCCTCCTTCCCTTGTAGTAGGGGGTTTCAGTGATATTTAAATAATGAAAATAACAAAAACATACACACACCATTGGATTCCACAGTCACAAATTATAGATTTACACTGCAAGTTCTATTATTTAGTTCATAATTAATGAAAAACAATTAAAAATCCTACCTGTAAATCAACATTTTGCTCCATGCTACCTTTCCACTGGAACAATGTTAACAAAATGTCAGTGATTTATTATCACTTTACGTGGTAACCTGATACTGCATAACAACCATGCCAAGGCATGATAAAATGTAGTCTCATTAACGTCCATCCATTTCAAACTCATACACATGTATTCATATTATATGGATAAATAAAATTGTCAATAATCAAATGTTAATAATGAAGTATGAGCTTACCTATGTACCTATGAAAGAATAGGTGAGATTTTGTAATCACACTGGTTGTAAACTTGAAATACCATGATTGACATGTACTTATCAGTAGTAACCTCTATCCATTCTACATCATGTTATGATGTAATTGATACGTTGTTGGTAGCCACACCCAACAATATGATGTATAGCAAACTGTTGCCAGGACATATAGGCTGTCTACAATCCCCATTTATCATGTTTTGACATGCTGTCTGTTTGAATTGGCAGACATATCTATGTATCAGTTTATTCATTATGTAGTCTGCTTGTTTCTATCAATTCAAAGACTAAAAATAATTGTAAATGGTTTTAAAGTTTTATTTGTGTTTTCAAATAGTAAATACTTCTGGATGCAATGAAACCGGTCACACCAAATTATAGCATGTAAAGAGCTGTCGTTTGATGTATCACTGATCCCTATGGGGAACTTGTTCTCCCACGGTGGCCACTAGAGGCGCTACGAGTCCCGGGCCAACAAACCTTTGCGC